GGGAGGGGAGAGGGTGGGGTGTGGGGGTGCTGTGAGTCGGGGGGGAGGGACTTTCTGGTCCCACCCGGCAGGCCTCAGGCTTGTGGCAGCCCTGCCTGGAGGCTGTGGGCATCAAGCAAGGACAGGGCCAGTGGTGCTGTGAAGAGGGCTGGAGTGGCTGGCAGTTGCCATCATGCAGGGGAAAGTGAGGCTCCAGGAGGTGGGTTGTACAGTAGAGCGAATCTACCTCGGCCCCCTGCTTCTTGTCAACACCACAGGAGGCCGGGGGAAGGCTTGCCGGGCCCTGTCCCCCGCCCCCGGTGGCCCAGGCAGACCCAGGTGGGGCCAGGCTTTCAGTGCCTGCACGGTGCAGCCCTCCCTTCCGACGGCCAAGCCCTGCCCCAGGAGGAGGCAACGTCCCTGCCTCACCTCCAGCCCGAATTTGTAGAAGAAGAAGTTGATGAAGTACTTGAGGCAGCCGAGCAGATCCTGGTCCAGCTGCTGGCGGGTGCCGCTGGCGAACACGGCCTGGGCAGGCAGCGGGGCCAGCTGGTGCTGCCGGCGGTGGTGCTCCTGGCGCCGGTACACGATGGCCTCGAACACCAGCAGCAGCAGGACCTGCAGGTGGTTCTGCGGGGGGGCAAGGGTCAGGGGGCAGCTGGGTACTCGCCCGCTCCGCCACCCACCAGCCCCTCACTCACCTGGATGTAGCCCAGGTTGGGGAACCCTTTCCGCACCCCAAACCAGTTGGCGGGATCCACGGGCCCCCGGTACAGCAGGGACTGGCTGATCTCCGTGGTCAGCAGGTTGGTGCTGTTCGGGGAGGGCTGGCAAGAGACCGGGCATCAGTGCCCCCTCCTAGGCCACAGTGCCCCCCGGCCCTGCCTGGAGCCCACCACAGCCACAGCTCCAGGGCAGGTCCACCGCTGCCCCAGCCAAGGACACAGGGGCTGCTGGTCTTGGAGCCACCTTCACGGGGAAGGGGACCAGGTGTTTGAGAAACAGGGAGACCACAGGCAGGGGCTAGGGGAGTGAAGAGAGGTCCAGGGAGAAGGAAGGATGTGTGAGAAAGTGCCAGGCAGCAGCTGCCTGACTGTCTCTCCCCGCCCAGGCTTGGGGTGGGGCCCTCCCCTCCTCACTGCAGCAGACCCTGGGACTCCGCCCCTACCAGACACCCTTGTGTGAGGGGAGTGGACCCCTGGTCCACAGATCAGGTCAAAGGATGCTGCCTCCAGGAGGCCCCCTTGGCCCCATTGCACTGAAGCAGCTGCCCTGGGAGGGTGGGGCTGCGAACACAGCTGCCTGGAGCTTCCTCCCGTGTCCGCCCACGGGGGCCGTACCTCGGTGCAGTTACTGGAATACTCCTGAGGGTTGACAACCTTGAGCTGGTACAGCATCTTACACACGATGATGACGCAGGTCCACACAGTAGACAGGCAGGAGGCCATGGGTCGGAAGCGTGGGTAGGGCAGGGCGAAGGCCCACAGCACCACCAGCAGCAGGTTCATCACCGACACCTGAGGGCAGCGGGCACGTGGGACTGGGCTTGGGGAGGACAGCCGGGCAGGCCAGAGCAACCCCACCCCAGACGGGAAGCTGAGGTGCCTACCACACTCACCTCCTTCAGGGCCACCCAGACGGTGTACAGGGCCACCAGCTTGAAGACATGCAGCTCCAGCAGCCGCCGCAGGAACACCTGCACCCGTGAGAGGACGTCCGAGAAGCCGGCTGCCAGCTCCAGCAGCCGTTCGGCCACCAGGCCCCACTTGGCTGCGCCTGTGACGGTGTGAGGGTCAGTGTGGGGCGGAAATGGGGAGTCCCAGGTCCCTGTGCAGAAGAGGCTGTGAAGCTCAGAGGGGACTCTGTCAACAACCCCCCAGCTGGGATGTGGCACAGCAGACTGGGTGGCCGCTGTGCTCTGCCCACCCGACTCACCTTCAGGCACCTGGGTGGCCTGGTGGGGAGTGGCCATGCCCAGCCCCTCATCCCTGGGGCCCTCCTCCTCCTCCTCCTCCTCCTCCTGCTGCTGCTGCTGCAGCAGTGGGGTCCCGCTCACTGCATCCTGCCTGGGAGAGAGTCCGAAAATGGCATCTCCCAACTGGGTTCCTGCCCCTCTCATTTCCTGGGCCTGGAGGAAGCCCTGTTTGCACCGCTGCTGCTGCAGCTGCCAAGTCAGGCGCATAGCTGCGTCGTTACTCATGCCCACTGTCTCCGGGACCTCCACACTGCTGCCATCCCCTCGATGTGAGCAAATGGAGGATGTGGCTCCTGTCCAAATCCCACCTGTCTCCCTCCCTGGCCCAGGAGGTTGCACCTCTCCAAGGCCAGCCAGGGAGGGCGGGGCCGCACCTGTGAGCCCAGCGCGGGAGGCGCCTGCCGGGCGGGGACACGTGCTCCATGTCGGTGAGCTGCATAAAGGGCCGGTGGAAGTAGTGCAGCTGCAGGATGCAGGCCAGCAGGAAGAAGCCGGGTACCAGGATGCTGGAGAAGAGCTCGGACACGCTGAACTGCTCCAGGCCCAGGTCCCCCAGCCTGCGAAGGGTTAGTGTCAGCACCGGCCCGGCCCCCGGCGGAGCCGCTGGAGCCCTGGGAAAGTGCATGGGGTGTCAGCGCCGCTGCCCCACCGCCCCAGCCTGGACTCACTGCTCATCGGTGAAGCCAGTGAGGTTGCGCCAGTAGGCAGGGAAGTCCTGGAACTGGAAGGTGTAGACGGCGATGAGGACCAGCATGGTGTAAGCCACCACGAGCCACCAGAAGGCCTTGAGGAGCTTCCGCCACAGGCTGTAGTAGACCTGCCGGGTGAGGGGGGCGGTAAGGGCCGCGGGGAGGGTCCGTGCCCCAGCCCCCACCCCGGCCCGCCAGCCACCTGGAAGAGGGTGAGGCAGAGCAGGAAGAGGAACATGTAGACAATTTTGTAGACCACGAGGCGGCCGGCGAAGCTGACCACGATGAACATGCCGGCACACACATAGATCCAGTACTTGGCATAGACGCCCTTCACCAGCTCCCCCAGGCTCTGCAGCAGCGTCTGCGTCCGCGTGGGCTCTGTGGGCCAAGCCAGGGGGCAGGCGATGGCATCGGGGCGGGCGGGCAGGAGGGCAACTCCCACCTCTGGCCTGCCACTCACCTGTGTCTGCCACAGTGACCTCCGTTAGCGCAGCTGGAGCCTCTGCCCGCTTTAGCAGCTTCTCTTTCACAAACTGGCGCAGCAGGAGCCAGAAGGTCAGGGTGTAGAGCAACTGCGACAAGAGCGGTATGTCCCAGTCAGCCGGGGGGCCCAGCACCCCTCCCACAGCCAGGGCAAGAGCCCTCAGGGAGGCAGCTGGCACCAGCCCATCTACACCGGCCTCCCACAGGCACCAAACACCCTCTCGCTCACACCCACCCAGAGGCACACGAGCACACACTTCCATACCCACGGATGAGTGCATGGGTTCACACGCGCTCACATGCAGTCACACGGGTTCACTAGTTCACATGGGCACAGATCCATGTACACACATGCACACACGTCCACATGCCGGAGTGCACATTTACCCACATGCATGTTCACATATGCCCACAGGCTTATGTGGAGGTGTACACACAGGTGCACGTTTGCACACACGGGCTCACAAGTCTCACAAGATGAGACACAACCCACTGGCCTGCAAACAGGTGACCAGACATGATGCTGGCACCCCGTGAACACATGGCCTGCACAGCTTGTCACTGAGACCCAGGGCTGTGCCAGTGGGCAGAGGCCATGCTCACACACAGCGTCAGGGGTGCAGGGGTGGTGCCCGTGCCAACGGGCAGAGCCCACATTCACAGTGTCGGGGTGCAGGGGTGGTGCCCGTGCCAACACAAGGTTGTCTGTTTATTTGCTCAACAAACACTCACTGAGAAGCTACTCTGGGCTGGCCCTGGGTGGGCAGAATGGGGACCCCATTGTGACAGACAGACACGGATCTACCTTCCTGGTGCTGCTACTCCCCTGGGCAATGGACATTGAACAGGATGATGACCCTGACGGGTGCATGCACCCAGGCACCCCTGGATGTGGTGGCGCACACTCACCATGGCGCCAAGGTCCAGGCAGGGGTACCGGGTGTGCTCCAGCCCCAGCTGGCGCAGGCTGACGGGGCCCAGGGTGGTGGGCGGCCCTGGTGCAGGAGAGCTGCAGCCTACGGGGCCCAGGGTGGTGGGCAGCTCAGGGCGCAGGTCCATGGCCCACACGTAGCGCAGACAGCACAGCGTCATCCCGTACAGCAGGATGCAGGGTGAACACAGCATGGCCAGCTGGTGGCGGCTGCGCACCGTCCAGATGAGGCAGGCCCAGAGCAGCAGCACAAAGGTCAGCCAGCTGTGGTAGGTGATGCTCCACACCTGCGTGGCAGAGGGAACTGCATGGCCGCCCAGCGCACCCCCCCAGCGATGCCCCACACCTGCACAGAGGAGGGGGGTGCTGCACAGCCACCTTCCGCCACCCCATCCCATCCCGATCCCCACGGCCGCCTACCATCATGGCGATGAGTGCGCACACATAGCTCTGGTCCATGATGAGGTGGCCCAGGCTGTGGAGTGGGGATGCCTCCCTGGGCTCAGCCCGCTTGGGCCGCACTGCAGGTGGGGACAGAGGTCAGCTCCGGCAGGGTGATCTCCAGGCACCCCCCACCCTGACTACGCCCTAAAATCCAGGCCATGGGCAAGCACACAGCAGGAGGGACAGGCCCCCGGTGGCCATGGTGGGCTATGGGCGGAACACACGGGCTCCAGCGGTGGGGCTGACACTGTTCCCCGAGCGTCAGGGATCGCCCTGCCAGCACCTGCTGTTCTCTGGGCCTCAGTTTCCTTGAAAGGGTGGGGCGCACAAGGTGGCCCTGACCCCGTTTCCAGCCCTGTGCACCTGAAGACTCTCGGGACCCCCACCCCAGGACCCTGGCTTCACTCGTTTCATTCAGAAACACATTGCAAAATGGAAAATCAAGGGTTAGGGTACAGAAAGAAAGTAGCCAGAAAGAGCCCCCAGGCCCTCCCAAGGCAACATGGCCAACTCGGAGTTCCCAGGCCAGCCCCTGCCCTGGATGAGCGGCCTCCTGGGGCCACTGGCCCACCTAGAACAGCTCCCAGAGCGAACAGCACAAGACAGCGTAGCCATGTTTTCTGGGGAGGGGTTGGGAGACTGAAGGGCCCACCCATGGGGTCTTGGGGATCAACGATGCATCCACTCGGCTGCCCTGGGGGTCTCAGGGGTCAGGGACACTGACACATGGATGCCCGAGGGGGCAGCAGGCAGCGGTGCCGTGCGAGCATGCGAGAGCGCCAGGCGGTCACCAGGGGGCAGCACCGGCCTCCCCTTTCCCAGCCGTACCTCGGAGTGCACGGTACTTACCAGGCCGCTGCCGGATGGGGCTCTGGCCTGTCAGCTCGTGCACGATGCAGTTATCAGCCTCCGTGTCGGGTGCTGTGGGCACCACGTGCTGTGGACAAGCAGTGGTGAGCCATGCAGGGGCTGGCCCAGAGCCCCCCACCCTGGCGCCTCCACCCACCTGGCTGCTCACCTGGGCAGCCTCCCCATCCTGGGGCCACTGGTCCAGCTCTGCCAGCTCCAGCTCCCGAGTCTCGTCCCCCTTTGCCGCCTCCTTCCTCTGCAGAGACCAGGGCCTTGAGCCCAGACCAGCTCCACACCCCACCCAGAGGCAGGAGGTCCCGAGACCAGCCCATGGTCTGACCTCGGCCCACCCCCCAAGGGTGGCAGGTACTCGCCTGGCCGGAGGGGCGGTGCACACGGAGCTTGCGCAGAGAGGCCGTGGCGTAGCACAGCAGCAGCAGGACGCCGGGGCTGGCATACATGGGCCAGTCTAGGCTGGTGTTGAGGACCAGCACGTGGGGGCTGGAACAGTTCGCAGGACCCACGAAGTCCTTGAGACCCAGCACCCTGTCCAGAGAAGACCTGTCACTGCCCACCACCCCGGAGGCAGTGGGGCCACAGGGGTTAGACGGGCCAGGTGGGCAGGACCGGGGGGGGAGGAAAAAGGGGCCGTGTGGCAAGCCGTTACCTAGCCCAGATGCCGGCAGGCGGGAGCAGACCCTGTGCCAAGGGCGTCTGGTAGCAGTAGAGGGAAAGGAGATGGCCGGTGCCGAAGCAGCCCACTGCGACGCAGAGTCTGTTGAAGCCCAGAGTGCTGATGGGGAAGTGGCAGGCCCACCAGGTGCAGATGGCCAGGAAGACCAGCAGGTAGACGCTGGAGAGGGCCGAGGGATGGGCGATGCCTGCGGGGCAGGGCAGGGGCACACAGGGTTGTACCTGGCTGGTGCCTTATGTCCCACTATCTCCACGGTCATCAGGGAACTCCAAGACCCCTCCCAGTGTGACTGCCAGTGCCCCTGCCTCGGTGCGTACCTGCCAGTGCGAGCAGTGTTACGGCCAGGACCCGCCCAGCCGCCACCAGCAGCCAGTGGGCAGTGACGCGGAAACGGGCGGCCAGCCGTGACCTCCGTGTAGGGGCCAGCGTTGCGGCTTCCTGCAGCCCTGCCGGGGGGCTGGCATCCACATCCCTCTCGTCATCATCCTGCCAAGGTCACGGGCAGGGGCAAGGTCAGGTGTATCACAGAGGCCACCTCTGCAGCCCACATCTGCCCAGCCAGGAGAGCGGGAGGTGGCCACGTCCACAGCTGCCCCTCTGAGGGCCACAGGCCAGCCTCCCTGAGCACAGGCCCCAGCCTCCCTGAGGTCTGCCTGACACCTTCCTACTTCCTCACTCGAGCTCACAGGCCCTGCAGGCCTTCCTGGTAGCAGTTCTCACCCTGGCCGAAGACCCACGGTCTGTCCTGGCAAGTCCAGGCATGTGATGACCTTGCCAGGTACAGGCTGACCGCAGGCTGTCCTAGAGCGCCTCATCACCCTGCACCACGCACCCAGGGAGCAGCGGGGCCCTGTCTGCACCCCGGGGGGTCTCTAGAGACCAAGGGGGCCTGAGGGACATGGCCAGGCTCCAGGATCTCCTGGGTACCCCTGCCAGCCTTCTGGGTGGCTGTGCCTAGAAGTTAGGGGTGGTGCTCCTGCCCTCGCCGAGCCTCTGGGGAGACAGAGGCTGCCAGCTGCCTAGAAGTGACAGGCCGGCCCGGGCTCGGGGAAGAGAGACCGGACAGGCCTGTTTTCCCTGGTCCTGACTAAAGATTTCCCAGAACAGCCGTTTCCCAAACACAGGGGAAAGCCAGGGTGTGGTGGAAAGAACACGGCTGTCGTCAGATGCCCCGGCTCTGGCCTGGCTGCCAGCAGCCCAGTGTCCCCATCTGTGACTCGGGGGCTCTCCTGGTGGCTGAGGCGCCAGGCGCCCAGGCTGAGAGCACAGGCTGTGGGGCTGGATGATAGGCACCATCGCAGCTCTGACAGTCTCAGGCAAGTCACTTAGCCTCTCGGAGCCTGTTCCCCTTCTGTCAAACGGGATGGGGGCTTGACAGGACAGATGAGCCAGACCAGTCCTGTCCTCATAGGCCTCCAGGGCTGCAGGGGCTGCTGGGAGGCTCCAAGGCCAGGGGAACAGGGAGATCAGGGCAGGAGAGGCCTAGACCCTGAGCCCACCCCTCTGAGAGACCACACAGCAGCGGGGGGCGAGGCTGGATCAGAACGCAGGGTGCCATCGCTCACGCCCGGGGCTCTCCCACCAGACCCCAGAGCGCCAGGGCTGGGGCTGGAAGGCCTGAGCTCACCCCGTCCACAGCCTGGCCCTGGCCCTGGGAAATCTTCTGAGCAGAGCCGTGAAAAATGAGCATTTCTGGGAGTGGAAAGAACAGAGGCAGCTGCTGTGGGAGGACAGGTGTGAGGCCACTGAGGGGTAGGCCTGGCCCTGATTTGGGCCCCACGTGCCACAGCCACGCTGCAGACGCCCCTCACCTCCTCCAGCGGCCGGCACCCCTCGGGCTGGCTGGCACACTCTGCCGCATGCCTGCACACATGTTGTGTGTTGCCTGTACGTGGGAGTGAGGGTCTCCCGGGGGCCCTGCCAGGCCGGGTCATGGGGCTTCTAGATCTGGGTTTCGGAATGGTGTCCTGGAGGTGCCTGGTGCCCCCACCGCACTCTGAAGTCTGTCCACACTGGCCGGCCAGGGCGCAGCTGCACGCTCAGGGTCCCATCACACCAAGACGAAGCTGACCAGAGTCCAGCCCCCCAGCCCCGTCCCAGCAGCCAAGCTCCAGGAAGCTCGGGCCCCTCCCTCGTCAGCATGGAGGGGCTCACGAGGGAGGGGCAGGTCTCTCAGAGGACAGGCAGCAGCACAGCCCCCACGATGACCGGACCCCCTTAAATGCCCGGAAAAGCCACTTCAGGTCCCCATTCCCACCTCTGAAATGTGGGTGCCAGCCTCGTTCCATGGTGCGGGGACAGGACAGGCAGGAGGGCAGGCCGCCTCTGCAGGCTGAGCAGCTGCACCCAACCTACCATGTGGCTTGGGGAGCCCCTTTCCCTCTCGGGTCCATGTGCCCGGCAAGCATCAGCTGACTGACGAGTGGGCACTGGGAGGGTGAGGTGGGAGGAGACTGGGTGCCCGGGGCAGGGAGTTCATGGGCCAGGACACCCAGGTGACCATAAATCCCGGCTGAGCCTGGGGATGGCGAGTGTGGGACCGGGTAGGGGTGAGAGGGGCTGAGCAGCAGTGATGCCGGCCCCAGCTCACGCCCTGCCCGTGGGAGGTGGCCGTAGCTCGGAGATTCCCGGGGCCAGACCTCGAAGTCTCGTAGCAGCTAAAGTTCACTCTGCCTCCCACTCCGAGGACAGAGGCCCTGCTTCAGGCCCGTCGCTCCTGGGGCCGAGGCCCCTGCTGGTGCCCTGGGCCAACAGCCTCTCTGCCTGGGCCCGAGGCCTCCCGCCGGGGCCGCCCCTTCTCAGCCCGTCTGCAGCGGCTCTCCAGCCAGACCCACTGCCCAGCACTGCAGGTTCCCACCAGCGCGTGGCCCCAGACAATCCCCCGCGAAGAGTTTCCAAGGGCAAAACAGACGCCACCTCAGGGCCTGGAGGTTTCCCACCAGAGGCAGAGCCCGGGTAGAAACAGGTCGGAAAGGATGGAACCGCAGGCTGGGCCCGGGGTGGGACATGGAAGTTCCTCCCCTCTTTAACACCAACTTACAACTGAAAAGTCTACATTTGTTTTTAAAAGATTAACCCTCAAAATGGCTGAGACCACAGCTCTCGAATGACCTCCCTGACACGTGGGTGACGCAGCTGCCCTCACCAGCTCCTGCGTATGTGGGCTCTGCTGGGTGTTCCTTGCGAGGCGCCCGCAGAGGCCGAGGCAGACAGAGGAGACCACCAAGATGCCCAGGTCAGGGGCCACCAGCCGGATGGCGTTGGGGATGTCCTTCAGGTCCAGCCTGCGGAGAGCAGGGAGCAGCCGCAGTCAGAGCAGGAGGACAGGTGCGGGTGAGAGTGCGGATGGAATGTGGATGAGTCTCCAGGTCCCCATCCCCCTCTCCCATCCCTCCTGGGTCCCCCCACTTCCTGGGGCCTGAAATCCCCAAGGGAGGCTCGCTGGTTGGGGGTGGGGGGGACGGTCTTAACCTTGTGACCCCTATGTGTCGCGAGAGGGTCTCCCAGCGGCTGCCTGCGGAGAAAGACAGAGGAACCCAGTCAGGCTCTGCCCAGCCAGCACCACGGCCCAGTCATCCCTGGGGTGTTTCACGGGGACCATCCAGGCCAGACATAAATCAGGCTGAGTAGACCCCCCCCAGGAGACTCGGGGTCACTGCATGGCCCTCTCCCTGACCCCCAGGATGGCTACCCCTGCCCCGCCCCCTCAGCGACTCACAGCTGGGTCCCAGGAGCTGGTCCAGGTGAGGCACAGTGTGCAGGCAGATCTGGAGAGCGAGATGGGCCACCAGGAAGAGCAGGCTGAGGCCCAGCAGCGCCCGCAGGAGGCGGCCTGTGTGACCTGCGGCAGAGTGGGTGGGTGAGGCTGGTCCTGGGGATGGGGAGGGGCCCCAGCCCAGGCCACTCAGCCAGACAATAGCCCCTAGCCAGGTCAGAGCTCGGAAGCCTGAGACACATGCCGGCATGGACTCAGGACCCCAGCAGGCAGGCCGGCCCCACTCCCCACGCCTCCCCAGGGCCACTCGTGTCACTATTCTGACAAGGAGCCAGGCACCCTCCTGGAGGTGGCAGCAGGATGGGCCTGGGGCCCACAGGCAGGAAAAGGCCTCCCAGGCTTGAAGGCTACCACCTGGGGTTTGCTCACTTATCCAGCAAGTATCTGTCACCATTCAGTTGTGGAAGCAGAAGAAATAAACACAAGGGGACTCGAGAACCTCCATCTCACCCCAGTGGGGGCTGCAGTTGGATGGAGACCAAGGCATGGGGAGCGCCCCTGAGCAGCCGTGGCCAGGGTCGGGGTTGGGGGTGGCGAGGGGGCTCCCCCTGAGCAGCTGTGGCTGGTGCGGGAGTGGGGCCAGGATGGTTCTCGAGAAAAGTGGGGCGGGCAACTGCTTCCCTGGGGCTGAGGGGCCACAAGGAGAAGCCGCATCCCTACGCATGGTTCCCAGTCCCCATGGCAGACCTGGCATTTCAGGCACCTGCTGTGCGCCAGGTTGGGCCCCAGACTGCATCCTCTCTCTCTCTCTGTGTACCTGCACCTGGCAGGAAGCGGCAGCACCATCCAGTTGCCCGGCAGCCTTGTCCTGCTCCCAGCTGCCTGTGGCCCCACTGGACTCAGCCCCCAGGCAGGGAGGCCCTGGGCTGCAGGGCGGGGGCTGGGCGGGCACAGCCTGTGGCTGGGGGCACTCAGGAGCCCTGACTTCGCCTCTGCTCTCTGCACACATGTGGACAGCTCACCCTCCAGCAGGGGTCCGGACCAAAGTCCTTGGCCCACCAGGTTCTGAGTCCTGAGCCCAGGGCTGTGGACAGCTTCCCTCTCCACCCCAGCGCCTTCTGGCCAGAACCTCTGGGCCCTCACCCTGGGGCAGCGACTCCTGTACCACCGGCCACGAGAAAGTGCAGAGCAGCTCAGGCCCTTCTCACAACTTCGTGGAGCTCCGGGACATTCAGGGTCTGGGTCTGGGTCTGGGTCCGAGGTGGTGAATGTTACCACACACCTGCCCTCTCTCGGCCTCAGGGCGCCAACTTAGGGCCTGTGTCCACTCTGCTCAGTTTTTTGGGCACAGTCGGTGTTAGGCGACAGACTCGGGATTGGCCTTGGACACTCAGCTCCCTCTTTCTGGAGTGATGACTCATGACCCACGTCCAAGGCACCCTGCATATCCCTAAGCCTGACCGCGAGGCAGCACTCAGGGATGCCTGGGACCCCCATCCGCACCACTAGGCAGCCGAGGCAGGTTTGGACCAGCTACTCACTCACGCCTTCCTAGGGTTGCCCCAGGCCCTGACCTGCTGACCCTGCAGCTATGACCTCTGACCTGTGGAGGGTGGGAGGGGTGAGCAGGAGGGAGAGTGGGAAGGAGAAATGGAAAACAGGGACCAGGAAGAGAGGCTGCAGCCCCAGCACGAGCAGGAGCCACCACCAGTGGGGGCTGTGCAGGGCTCCTGAAAGACAGGACCTTCCAGGACCTCCCTGCCCCGAACCCACAGGGGCCGGGCTTCTCACTGCTCAGAGCCCCTGTGCCGCGCTCCTACGTGCGACGCCAGCCCCTCTTCAGCAGACCACAAGTCTGGCAGCAGGAGGGCACTAGACAGGGGCCCGCGTCTCCGCCGCTGTCACTGTGGGGTGACCTGAGAGCACTGACCCGGGGAATGGGCTCCTGCCAGGCCTGCCCAGGCACCTGGGCTGTGAGTCCTGCTCGCTGCACCCTCCAGCCTGACATTGAAGTGGCCTTGCCAGCGGGGCCCTCCGTGGCACTGGGCACTCAGGGAGAGCACGTGCCATTGCAGAAGGTATTCTGAGTCCTACAGAGAGGGACCCGCAGGGCACCTGCCCCATAGGCACGTGGGGCTCCTGCTGGTGCTGTCAAGGACCCCCGGGCACCGAGAGGACATCTGGGCCCTTGAACAGCCAGGCTGACGGGTTCCCTGCACACACGATCCAGCAGCCTGGGAAGGAAGTGCCTGACCAGAGACCCCTGGGCAGGGAGGGGCTCCCAGGCCACCTGGCTCCCGCCCTCCTGCCTTGCCCTGCACAATGACGGTCCAGGATGGCCGTCTCCGGCTCCAACTCGGAGGTCACTGCCTCCCTGTTGTCCTCCTCCTTCCCCTTTCCCTGCCTCCTTCCTGGTTCAGTTCTCGGGCTGGCCAGAGTGTCCTGGTCTGGACATGTTAGAATGGCTGGGCCATGATCCCTCCCCCAGGGTCGAGGGGGCCGCAGCCGGGCCTGGAGGCCACCCCTGGCCGTGTGGCACAACCAACCGCTCCCTGCCTGGGCTGGATCAGACTAGGGAGCTGAGAGTTCGAGGGGCACCCCCGGAAGAGACACTGCTGGAGACGGGAGGGGGCCAGAACGTGCAGAGGGTCCGAGGTCCTGCTGACCTGCACGGGGCAGGGGGGTGCACGCAGAGGCCGAGGGGGCACCCTGACGCCGGCCCTCCTCTCCCATGCAAACAGCATGACCTCTAGGGGTCAGATGGCTTTCTCCTTCCTCCACCTGCAGCCCCTGCCCCCACCCACCCCCTCACGCTCCCCCTGCAGGTCCCGCCCCCAAATGCAAAGCTGCGAAAGCCAGGCTGAGCCGAGGATGGAGATCAGGCCACCTCCTCAGGGACCCACTGCTGCCTCTTCCAGGAGCCCAGGAGGCTGAGTGGGGTCTCCTGCCCCCGACTCCAACTCCCTCCCGGCAGGACACACCCTATAGGCCACGGCCCAGCTTCCAGTGCTCTCTCCATCCTGGGAAAGGGAGTGAGAGGAGGCTTGGGCCAGGGACCCGCCCAGCTCTGGCAGGCAGCCGCCCATCAGCCTTTGTTCCTGAACCACTGTGTGGGCCCCGGCCCATCCGCTTGTTGCTGGAGGGAGCCCATGGGGAACGGACTGTTCTTGCCACCCCTATCCATGGCAGGGGAGGGGCTCAGCATGGCCCTTGCCCACCCAGAAGAAGGTGCAGGGGGCCGGGCACGGTGGCTCACACCTTTGGGAGGCCGAGGCAGGTGGATCACCTCAGGTCAGGAGTTCGAGACCAGCCTGGTCAACATGGTGAAACCTGGTAGTCAACATGGTAGAACCCTGTTTCTACTAAAAATACAAAAAATAGCCAGGCGTGGTGATGGTCACCTGTAATCTCAGCTACTCAGGAGGCTGAGGCAGGAGAATCACTTTTACTTGAACCCGGGAAGCGGAGCTTGCAGTGAGCCGAGATCGCGCCACTGCACTCCAGCCTGGGCGACAGAACGAGACGCTGTCTCAAAAATAAAAATAAAAATAAGGTGCCGGGCTCCCCTTCCAGCTTGTAGGGCTCTCAGGAGGAAGCAGGAAGGGGCGGGGAGGCCCCAGGGCACCACAGACCGGATGGTTGACAGAGCACAGACCTCCCCCAGAGCCAGAGCCCTTGGACCCCTGCCCAGCCTGCAAAGGCTCAGGGGCCCCACACCATGGGAACGTCCTGATGAGTGGTCCGTAGACACCACCCCACACCTGCTGGACGAGGGCCGGGCCTGATCCGTGGGGAGTGTGGAGCTGATCCTTGGGGTGTGCACGGGAGCCCCCTGGAACCTGATCCGTGGGGTGTGCATGGGACCAGCCAAGGGACCCAGGGTGCCTTGAGGCTGAGCCATGACACCCACCAGCGACTGAGCTAGGGCTGAGCTGCAGGGCCACGAGAGGGGGCTTTTGAGGCAGAGGATGGAGACTACACAAGGCTGGCAGAGCGGGGGGACCAGTGAGGCTGAAGAGGGTGGCAGGGCCTCCCTGCAGGGAGCATGGTGAGATGGGGGGGTAGTTTCTCTCCAGACAGCAGGGTCAGTCTTGGAGGTGGGTTTTATCCTAAGGCAGGATGGGGCTTCTGAGTCCCTAAATGACAAGCAGGTCTCTGGGAGCCGACCCCTGTGGCTCTGCCTGCAGCCCCGCCTGGACCACCAGGGTCTGTTCCCACCGCCCCAGCCGCTCTCCTCTCTGCTCAGTCTGAGCTCAACCTCCAGCCCCGCAAGGGTCAGGCTGACGCCTACAGGGGGACCAAGGCCCGGATGGCGTCAAACCTTCCACCAGGGCCGCGCCAAGCCCAGCAGCTGCACAAATCATAAAGCCCCGGGCACTCGGCTCGGGCAAGCCTCACACTTTCCTCTCTCCCTCCCGGAAAACTGGGCAGCGTCTCCATCTCTGAAGGGTCCCTGAGGAGGCTCAGGCAGGGAAGTCCTCCCGGGTCCACTCCAGATCTTCCCAGCCCAGCTCCTCCCCTGGCCTGGCTGGGCGCCTGCCTTCCCTCACTGCCGATCAAAGGAAAGCGTTTCCAGTTGCGCCCGGGGCATGAAATATTTACGGAACAAACGGGGAAACGCCAGGGGCCTGGGAACAGATAGCACCAGCTCCACAGAGCAAAGGGGAGGCCCAGGATGGGGACCAGCACGGGGAGGTGCCCACCCATCCCCAGCGATGCATCCTGGAGAGGTTTTGGCCTCGGGTCCCAGCGACTCCCAGCACTCGGCCGCACTGGGCCCCTCCCCAAAATGCCTCTCTGCACCCCTGAATTCTACCCGTGACCCAAGATCAGTGCCTGCGCTGGCACAGTGACTCACACCTGTAATCGCAGCATCTTGGGAGGCTGAGGCAGGAGGATCACTTGAGCCCAGGAGGTGGAGGCTGCAATGAGCCATGATCATGCCACTGCCCTCCAGCCCGGGCAACCAAGCAAGACCCCCACTCAAAAAAAAAAAAAAAAAAAAAAACAGGCACGGTAGCTCATGCCTGTAATCCCGGCCCAGGCGGGTGGATCACCTGAGGTCAGGAGTTCAAGACCAGCCTGACCAACATGGTAAAACCCCTGTCTCTAAAAAAAATACAAAAATTACCCGGGCATGATGGTGGGTGCCTACAATCCCAGCTACTCGGGAGGCCGAGGCGGGAGAATCACTTGAACCCGGGAGACAGAGGTTGCAATGAGCTGAGATTGTGCCACTGCACTCCAGCCTGGGTGACAGAGCAAGACTCCGTCTCAAAAAAAATAAGTATAAAAGACCAGTGCTGGCCGGGCGCGGTGGCTCACGCCTGTAATCCCAGCACTTTGGGAGGCCAAGACGGGCGGATCACGAGGTCAGGAGGTCGAGACCATCCTGGTTAAACATGGTGAAACCCCGTCTCTACTAAAAAAAAAATACAAAAAACTAGCCGGGCGAGGCGGCGGGCGCCTGTAGTCCCAGCTACTCAGGAGGCTGAGGCAGGAGAATGGCGTGAACCCGGGAGGCGGAGCTTGCAGTGAGCTGAGATCCGGCCACTGCACTCCAGCCTGGGTGACAGAGCGAGACTCCGTCTCAAAAAAAAAAGTAAAAAAGACCAGTACCCGCCCCAAAGCACCCTGAGCTAGGAGGGAACCTGTGGGATGCTTCCAGCCAGATGTCGCGAGGGTGGCTTCCCACCTGCAGCTGGCAGAATGATGGACCCCAAAGAGGCCTGCATCCCAGTCCCCGGAATCTGTGAACACGGGAGCTCACACACAGAGGGGAGTCCAGGCAGCAGATGAAAGCTGCTCAACAGCTGATCTTAAACCAGGGAGGTCGGCCTGGATTAGCCGGGTAGGCAGATGGGACGCAGCCGTAGGGCTACCGTAGGGGGAGAGGGAGCAGGAGAGACGGGGTGTGATCCTGACCCCACCCCACTGGCTCTGGAGATGGAGGGAGAGGCCCCAAGCCCAGGAAGGTAGGCGCCTGAAGCAGCTGGAAGAGGAAGCAAATCCTCCCCAGAGTCCCCTGGAAAAATGCAGCCCGGTGGACACCTCGCAACCACGGACAGGCCCCCATGCAGCCAGCCCCCGGAAAAATGCAGCCCGGTGGACACCTCACAGCCACGGACAGGCCCCCATGCAGCCGGCCCCTGGAAAAATGCAGCCCGGTGGACACTTCGCAACCACGGACAGGCCCCCATGCAGCCAACCTGCTGCGTCCAGCACCTCCCAGAAGGTGGTGCCCAAGAGCGTGTCCCCACAGTCATGCCCCCCGGTCCTGCTTGGCCTCTTCTCCGCCCTCTGCTGGGGAAGGTCTCTTGTTTTCTACACTTGCCCTCCCTGGGGACCTTCCTTCCTTTCAGCGGCTCTTCACCTTCCAAAACCCAAAGGCCAGCAGAGGGCCCGGCCCCACCCACGTTTGGCCCAGGGCCTTTGGGGACAGGTCTCTGAGTGTTTCTTCCAAAACCCGCTCTCCTAAAACGTGGGCACAAAATGGACATGGCCCCCACAGGGCAGGTAGGTGACACGTCACAGGATGGAGGGTTCGCCGCCACCCTCATCACCCAGGCTGCAGGCTTGGCGCGTGGCCTCACTGCCCTGTTTGGAGGATAAGGGAGAGAAGCACAGTCCTGGCCCAGCTCAGACCCCAAGGTGGTTCCCAAGGCGGGCCCCAGCTCCCCACCGGCAAGTGGGTCAAGGTCAACTGAGGTCCAACTCCACGGCGGGCAGCGGGAGGGCGGTAGAGGCGGCTGGAACTTCCAGGCCGCCAGAGCCTTAGCAGGGAGGAAAAGTGCCTGGAGCCTGCAGGGAGCGGGCAGTTGGGGCCCACCCACTCCCTGTGGCCTCCCAGGGGACATAGGGACTCCACTCCCGTGGCCCCCTTTGCCTCCAACAGCCCCTGCAACACGGATCAGAAAAGATTCTGAGCTTAGCTTGGGGTCTACGATTAAAATGAGAAACTTTGATGGCTGGCGTGGTGGCTCACAGCTATAATTGCAGCTACTTGGGAGACTGAGGTGCGAGGATTACTTTAACCCGGGAGGCGGAGCTTGAAGTGAGCCAAGATCGCGCCACTGCACTCCAGCCTGGGCGACAGAGTGAGACTCCATCACAAAAAAAAAAAAAAAGAAATTTTTCTCGGGACCCCTCACCTTTCACCCCGGGCGGTTGAAGGTGAGGAAAGCTGTATGAATTTTGGCCCCAAATGAATGTCCACCCCCTCCCACCCTGAGAGCACGGACGGGGTCCCCTGGCCTTACCTTGGAGGCTGTGCCGGGTGGGGCCAGGGAACCAGGGCAGCAGCAGCAGGAAGAGCAGGTAGACCAGCGAGAGCCCGCTGAAACGGAGCAGGCAGGCTGCGGGGAGATGGATGTCAGCTGCGTTGCCAACAGAGGATGGCCAGCCCCCACCCCAGAGGACAGCGCACCCACGGCCCAGCTCGTCACACTCCCAAGGCCGTGTGCCCTGTGAGTGCTGCCCTAGGCCGGAGCCATGGAAGCCCCCATGAGCTTCCGTACGTATCTCACGCACACCACACCACGCCACGCCACGGGCACCAGCCTCCCAGTGGGGCACTAAGGTTGTGACCCATCTTCCTCACTTGCTTTTCTTCCTTTAAAAATGCTATTCTTGGGCCGGGCGCGGTGGCTCACACCTGTAATCCCAGCATTTTGGGAGGCCGAGGCAGGCGGATCACTTGAGGTCAGGAGTTCAAGACCAGCCTGGCCATGGTGAAACCCCGTCTCTACTAAAGATACAAAAATTAGCCGGGCGTGGTGGCGGGCACCTGTAATCCCAGCTACTCGGGAGGCTGAGGCGGGAGAATCGCTTGAACCTGGGAGGTGGAGGCTGCACCGAGATCACGCCACTGCACTCCAGCCTGGGTGACAGAGCAAGACTCCATCTCAAAAATCAACCAAACAAAAAATGCTATGATTCCTGCGCCCAGCACGTGTCTGGGAGCCCTCGCACAGGTATGGGGCTGTGGGACACAGTGTGCCCTCAGCCCAAACGCTCTACATGGCTGCACTTGCCGCAGCCGCCGCACTGTGTCCCGTGTCTGCCCTCCTGCCTCTCTCAGAAGGTCCTGGGGCCTGGCCTCCCACCCTCGCCTGAGAGCCCGGCCGGTGTTTGCATCAGTCCCAACCACACAGCTCCCACGCGGGGTCTGCCTGGCACTTGCACTGATCTGACAGGGTCCAGAGTCAGGAAGGCTGCGCCTGCCACACTCCAGCCAGGCCTGCTTCCTCCTAGGAACATAAGGTTTGTCAGGAGATGAGGGCTGGGACCTGATGTGGTCTCCTTGCAGAGGACCTGGGGGGCCACTCAGCCTTTCTGGGGCTACCGGGGAGGACACTGGGACTGGAAGGGCGCCTCTTGCTGCCTGAGGGGCACCAGCAGCCCACCCTCCACCCGCCACCCTCCACCCTCCACCCACCCTCCAGCCGCAGGGCCCTGGTCAGGAGGCTGAGGAAGGAGGCCACAGTGAGCTCAGACCCATGTCCAAGCGAGACCCCTGGCTGCTGCTCCCACCATGACCCCAAAGTCCCAGCCAGGGTGTAGCCAACCGGGTCCCTCCATAGTCTGGCTCTGTGCCCAGGGGAGGCCATGTGTGCCACCGTCTGCCCCATCCTTGGTGCCACAGGAGCCCCGGGAAGTCTCCTGGAGGGAGGCCCAACCCAGCCCAGCTCTCACCGTGACACCCGCCTGCCCCTCAGTCCCCAGGACCTGAGCCTCACCCTAGACCAGGGGCATGGAAAACACAGGGTGAGTTAGAGGAGGCACAGGCAGAGGAAGACCCCGACCTCCACGGATAGCACGGGAGGCCTGGCCTTTCAGCCTGGGGGACCTCCAGGCCCGTCTCCCCATTGGCACCATGGGGCTGATGCTTGCACCTGAAAGGGCCAGGGGCACATGGCAAACTCAGCAAGCAGAGCCCCTCCCTTCCCACCCTCAGCAGCTTCACCCTTCCACCCTCCCAGAAGCAGACACGAAAGGTTCACGCTCGGGACGGCTACGGGCTGAAGGCGGCCTCGGCTTAGTACACGCGTCGCAGAGTCCAGGGCTCCAGGGGGCACCACCCGCCCTGCTGGACACAGCAGCCTTCCCCAGCTCCCCCAGGAGCCCTCCCTAAAGTTAACATCCCCACTTCCTCCCATTAATGCATCAAGCATAGCCATCGGCTCCATGCTTTTAAACCTAAAGTTTTTTGATGATTATACATTTTCATAAAAAAAAATCAATAAGATCTGGCCCAAGAGGCAGGAGGAAAATGCATTCACGGCAAAGGCTTCTGAAGTTTGCGCTTGTTCCCTAGAGCTGCACTTTTCAGCCGGTGGGTTCTGCCCCAGCCCTGTCCCCAGAGAAGGTGGCACCTCCCCTCTGCACCTGTCCAGCCAGGTGGCAGCCGTCCGTGCGTCCATCAGAGCAGAGGAGCTCACAGTCTGACCTGCCAGGAATGGCCAATGCTGAACAAGTTCAGGTGCACCAGGGTTGGGTTCAAAGCCCGTGGCAGGGCGCCCTAGTGTGGCGTGGACACCAGGCAGGGCTCCTGGAGGCAGAAGCGTAGGTCCTGGGGATGAAGGTCGCCAAACCCTGAGGCTGTGGGGAGGCCAGGGAGGTCGTACCATGGGTGCGGTTTCCTTTGGGAAAATGAAGAAGTTCTAGAGATGGGTGTCGGTGACAGCTGCACAACTATGGGAACGTGTTTACCGCTGCTGACCTGTGTCCTTAAATGTGGCTAACATGACAAACTTTAGGCTGGGTGTGGTGGCTCACGCCTGTAATCCCAGCACTTTAGGAGGCCAAGGCAGGCGGATCACTTGAGCCCAGGAGTTCGAGACCAGACCGAGCAACATGGAGACTGCATCTCTACAAAAAATTACAAAAATTAGCCAGGGATGAAGGTGCATGCCCCTTGTCCCAGCTACTCGGGAGGCTGAGGCGGGAGGATCACTTGAGCCCAGGAGGCTGAGGCTGCAGTGAGCCATGATCGTACTGTTGTGCTCCAGCCTGGGCGACAGAGTGAGATCATCTCAAGAAACAAACTATAAAATGGCAAGTTTTATGGATGTATATTTTGCCAGAATAAAAAAATAACCATCCCCTGAAATCTGCAAAGGATTGTCAGAAGCCAGAGCCTGAGGCTGCAAGGGGCTGGGGCTGGAGACGAGGCAGGTGCAGGGGCTGAGGATGGAGATGAGGGAGGGCCTGGAGCCGGAGACCTCCCTGACTGCCCTGCCCCTGGCCGAGCCAGAGGGGAACCTTGAGGGACAGAGTGGAGTCAAAGGCAGAGGATGATGGAGGGCGTGGGAGGCACTTTGGCAGGGGTTCCCCAGCAGCTCAACGTCACCCGGCAGGGCAAGTCCCCTGCCTGAGACCAGGACCCACCACGGGCCTGCCCTGGGGTGATCAGCAACATGCCCCCCAGAGTTTGTTCACTCATTCATTCATTCATTCATTCATTTATTCAATACCCAGCAGGTCCCACCAGGCAGTGGGCTTGGTCTAGGGTCTGGGGACGTGGTGGACACTTGGACAGAAAACTAAGGCTTGTCCCAGGTGGTGGCCACTCACCAACAACACAGACAAGGAAAACGCTCAGAGAGGCAGAGGGCTACTTAGCCCAGAGCCCACCCGCTCGCCTGGGGATGGGCTGAGACAGGCGGGCCCTGGCTGGTCTCCCTGGCGCCATCTTTTCTGTCAGCCTTGTCGCAGACACCAAGCAGGGGCGGCCTGAGGGGTGGGATGAGAAGGGGGCTCGGGGTTACAGCCCAGCCCACCATTCCTCCCATTATCTGGTCTTGGGGTCCTCGGAGTAGCCAGCTGGCAGGGCAGGAGTGAGGAGGGGCCAATACTCCAATCCCCCCATTTTCAGATGGGATGGGCTCTGAGAGGGGAGGAGCTCCCGAGAGTGGTCAGAACACCAGGTACAGGCGTCCTGGCCGCAGGGTCACAGCTTTTTGAAACCCTCCTTGTATCTACCTGTGTTGTCTATGCGGCCAGAGGTGCGTTGGACGGTCTAAGTGTGTTGACGTGGCCTCAACTGTGACTTTGTGGGCTAAAGCCAGAGGGGGAGACACCAGAGCAGGCTACCTGGAGGAGGCGGCATTACTTTTGGCCTTGAAGGTTGGCTCCAACTTAGGGCAGGTCAGAAGCTTCCTGGATCAGTCTCAGGCAGAGAAGGAAGAAATTCGGCCAGAGGGGAGGTGGGGCCCGAGACAACCCAAGGAGCGAGGACAGGAGCCTGCCCTACCCTGTGGCTCCCACGTTCCCATCAGGAGATGCCCACCCTGGGCCTGTGGCCTTGTGAGGGTAGTACCTTTTCCTGAGTCAGCAGCAATGAGATGGGGTCAGAGACAACGGTGGCTCCTGAGCCCCGACCCCCTCGCCCCACTAGCACGCGCCTCTTTGTGGCCCACATCCAGCCCCTCCGGAAGCAGAGAGCCCGGCCATCACCCATCCCCAGTCCCTCATCCGACAGCTGAGCGAAGCACAGCCGGGAGCGCAGAGGCTGCCCCCACGGTAGCTGCTGGGCCCCTGGGTATCCAAGGGCTGGGCTGGCCTCTGCTTTCAGTGGGTGCTGGCCAGGAAAGCCACAAATGCCACATGGTGGTAACCAGGACCACACACCACTCCACCGGAACATTCCACACAGAGGGCTGGACACCACCCACTCCCACTGGCCCACAGGAAGACCTGCCATGGGGATGTCAGATGCCTGAGCCCTCCCGCCAGGACGCAGCTCCTGGGATGAGACCCTTGCAGCTGGCCCACACCCGGGTGGGAGGAGAACCTGCCAACCCTCGTTCCCTGTGGCCACTGAGGAGCCGCCCGCTCCGAGCCTGGCCTCCTCTAACATGGGCTGAACCAAGCCCGGCGAGGCCTGAAGGACTGTCACAGGGAGGGCTGCCGGCTGGGCCTTCCACAGCCTGGACACCTCACACCTTTCTCCCTCCAGGAGCCACGCAGAGACCCAAGGCCAGGATTTTGAGCCCCCCTTGAGCAGGGAGTCTCCGTGAAACAGCCGGTGCGGCCTGTGTGTGACCCCACACCGCCGGGGCCCGCAGGCCAGCGCTGGCCGAGAGCAGGAAGTGGTGCAGAAAGCCCGCGGCCAACAGGGACAGGTGGCCCGGGACCCACAGGAGCTGAGGCTGCACAGCAGAGCGGGCAGAGGCGAGCTGGGGGCACCGTGTGAGCCAAGGCCCCAGTGCGCCGTCCTGCTCCACACCTGCACAGGAGCTGAAAGCTGGGACTGGAGGGGCCCCAGACCCAGCAGCTGACCCTCCCACCCTAGGACACCTTTTGTGCCCCAGGGAGAGGGGAGGCCTAACCAGGGGGTGGACGCACCCGCGGCCATCATATCACCACCGTCCCCAGTGCAGGCATGGGGCAAGGCCTAACCAGAGGGCAGACGCACCCGCGGCCATCACGTCACCACCGTCCCCAGTGCAGGCAT